CGGGCAGGCGCGGCGCCCCCGGCCCCGCCACCGCCGCCCCCGCTGCCACCGGGCTCTGCGAGGCGGCCGCCGCCGCGGAAGAAAAACGTTGGCAGCGCGTGATGTGAAACACAGAATTAACGCCCAGCCCGTCCTAGGAGCGAAAACAAGGAAGGAGGGGAGGGGAGAGGGAAGGCGGACGGGAGAGGGAAGGGGAAAAAAAAAAAAAGAGCGAGAGACCATTAAAAACAGAGAAAAAAAGCCCCAGAAAAGGGAACGTCACATCCCCTTGACCCTCCAATCACCTCGGGGTCCCATTTGATTGGAAGGCGGCAAAGGCTTTAATCTCAGACTAATTCAGCTGCTTTTGAAGTGAGTTTCTTTGCCAGATCCCGGGCTGGATGGGCAGCGGCTCGCATCACAGCTGAGAGCGGCGGAGGCGAGCGCTCCGCTCCGCGCCGCTCCGCACCGCTCCGCGCCAGCCGGGGGAGCCCAGAGCGGCCGAGGGGGGACAGCGGCACACGCCCGCAGCCCCCACCCCCGCCCCCAGCGCAGCCCAAGGATTACTCGGCTTTTTTTTTCCTCTTTCTCTCCGGCCCGCTCCCCCTTTCCCTCCCCCTCCCCACCCACGCCCTCCCCGCCAGAGAGAGCCACGGGACATTTTATGTTTGTTTTCCTGCTCGGGGGGCGTGTGGCTTTTTTCCCTCCTCGCCCGCAGAAGGCGAGCGAGCGTTTCCGAGTGCGAGCGGCGCCACTTGCCCCAGTTTTCATGCGAGGTTTTGGGTCATGATCACATCGCCCTCGCTTTCTGCTATAAGAAGTAGTAAGCGCAGCAGCAGCAGCAGCCTCAGCGAGCCCGGAGGCAGCCCCCGCCGCAGCCGCAGCGCCGCCGACCTCTCCGGGCCGAACGGGCACGCTGGGAATAACGGCAGCAGCAGCAGCAGCAGCAGCGCCGCCGCCAAGCCCTGCTTCCACGCCGTCCCCCCCTCGGACCCGCTACGCCAAGCCAACCGCCTTCCCATCAAAGTCTTGAAAATGCTCACGGCTCGGACTGGACACATTTTACACCCCGAATACCTGCAGCCTTTACCTTCCACGCCCGTCAGCCCCATCGAGGTAAGGACCTCGGAACCGGCCCCCGGCTCCCCCCCCACTCCCCCCCTCCGCCTTC